TTGTTCCGGCCTCACCCCTTGCCCTAGAGGGTCCCGTTGTGCCAGGCGCTTCTCCCCCTGGGATGGACGGTCCCAGTCTGACTGGACCAGGCGGGATGGGAGGTTGGACAAGACAGACCCAGGCGGGGCAGAGACCCGCCTGAGATCTCTCAACAGGGTGAGGACAAAGCCGGGTCTCCTGAGGCCCTCCCCAGGCAGGGGAGGGGGGGCAGCCCCAGCCCAGGGAGAGCGCTCGGCCCAGGCCGGGGAGGCAGAGGAGTGGGGGGTTTAGCCCCAGCCCAGGGAGGGCGCTCGGCCCAGGCCGGGGGAAGACCTGGGTGTGCACTGTTCTCCCAGGGTGCTGGCAGGCCCTGGGAACGGAGGGTTAATGCCGCGGGATCCGTCTGTTTGCAGTGACCTGACCGAGAACCCCCTGGAGAACATCAGCAACACCTCTTTCCAGGGCTTCACCATGCTGCAGAGCATGTGAGTGCCGGGCTGGGTGGGGCCTGCAGCCCTGGGGACAGGGAGGGCACCAGTGCTGTCCTGCTGGGAGGAAAAGGGGGGCAGGGATAGGGGCTCAACAGGGAGAGTGGGGGGGAAGGGGCTCAGGGGTCCCTGGGTGCGGGGGTGGAGGGGGGGGCTGACTCTCCCCACACACACACACACACACACGGGGCTCCGTGTGGAGCTTAGCTGCTGGTTCCTGGGAAGCTGGTGGGGCAATAGGGACCCCCCCACGCTCAGAGCAGCCCTGCTCCTCTGACTGTCTCCTGTCCAGATCCCTGCCGCGTGCCCTGGAGTGCCCTGGAGGGAGCGTGGCCTGGGACCTCACCACCACCCACGGGGACAGCCGAACCTGCCAGGGGCAGAGGAACCTCTGCAACAGCTCGGGGGAGCTCGGTACGGTGGGGGGAGAGGGGCTCAGTACTGGGGGGGCCCGGGATGGGTTGGGGGGCTCGTTAAGGTGGCTAGGGTGAGGGCCCCCATAACCGCTCCCCTGAGGCCCCAGGCTGGAAGGAGCCCACGGCAGCTGAACTGGGAGGCACCAGGGGCAGGATCCCCGGCGGGTGTCCAGGGCAGGGCTCCCCCCCACTGCCTGCAACAAAGCATGCAACAGAAATACAGCCCCCCACCGCCCGGCCTGGGCCCAGCACCGCCCCTGCCCTCAGCAGCCTGGCTTTGCCCTCCCGCACCAGGCCTGGCCTGTTCTCCCACCCCTCAGTTCCCTGAACCTGGCCGAGGCAGGGACCACTGCAAGGGCCCCCCGGGAGCTGAGCTTTCCCCACACCGTCTGCGCGTTGCTCCCCGCTGCGGCGTGGGGGCCTCGGCCCAGCCCTGGTTCCAACCTTGTCTCCTGTCTGGTTCTGCTCAGCCTGGCTGTGCCCAGAGAACTCCCAGTGCAGCCCCGACGGCCCCGGGCTTGTCCAGTGCCTGTGCTCCGGGAGCTACCACGGCTACAAGTGTCTGCGCGAGGTGAGGGGCCGGGAGGCCTGGGCTGTGTGTCAGGCGGGGTGGGTGCCTGTCTCTGCTCAGGGGGAGACGCGTGGTGGGGGGTGCAGC